CTAGAAAATAAGAGTCAGTTAACTATGTGCAATGTGTTTGTATGTGTGGGTAAGAGAGAGATTTGGAGAGAATAGGTGGACAGGATGATGAATTAATGACACTGTACTGAGTTTATCTTTTTTGATATGGTTATGGTGCTTATGCAACCAAAAATAAATTAATAGCTGAAATCGTCAGATGCGTGCCTATGTGTATGTAGGTATTTTCACTGGATTTACAAACAGTAATCAATGAACTTAACTGCATTCCAATAGAAGAACATAATCATGCAGACATTATGAAGAAAAAGAAATCAAACAAATTTAAAAAGATAATATTTTGTCTGTATACATAAGGCAAAAGACAAGAAGAACTACTTACAAATATTGTTCCTTAAACAGTTTACTTCTGACTTATATATAGGTTAGCAGCTCAGGAGCTACTTTTATGTTTTTACAACAATGGGACAAATCAGAAAAAATATTGTAAATATTAAAAGTCAGATTAAAAGGAGTTGTGAAATCTAAATGCAATGTGGAATCTGGGATTGGATTTTGTACCAAAAAGGAACTTAGTCAAAAATGGTGAAATTTGCATAAATTCTAGATTAGTCAATAGTATTAATATTATCTTATTTTGATAATTATACCATTTATGTAACATAAATTGTTCAGGTTTGGGGAAGTTGTGTGAAGGCTGTACAAGAACCATCTGTACTATTTTTGCAAACTGTTAAAATAGCTAAAATTATCTCAGCATAAAAAGCGGTAAGCCACTTTTAAATTAACCAGACCCTCAGAAATTGGTTTCTTAGAGAAAGTTTTATACATTTATGGCAAGAATTACTGAAGCAAAATAATAATACAAAATCAGAAACTTATACAGTTTTTTAAATGTATGAACTGAAAGGCTCTTGGAATCATGAAGGAAATAACTGATATATTTAAATAAAAACAGGTGGAGGAGAGGAGAACAAGAGAAAAGACTAGACTACTAAGCTTTCCAGTTGAAAAAGGATAAAAAAAATTGGTGCAAGTGGACTGATTTGAAAGATTTATTTTGAAAGATCAAGTTCAAATACACTGATGAAATTGGCTTCTATATTTTCCAAAATGCTGTTCGGTCATCTTTCTTATTGAACTAGACAGAAAACTAACTAAAAATAAGACCACTATTGGAAAAAATTCCACAAGGTTGCTAGAGCCCAGAAACCATGCGACATGTTAAAGATGTCAGAGTTTGACCTTTATGCACGGCAGTCGGCTGTGAGAGTTCACCTCTAACCCTCCAGATGTAATTAGACCACAGTTAGGTTTTATTGTCTCAATTTTTTTTCATTTTATTCATCATTCTGCTGCTGCCAAATTGCATGGCTAAAGCAGGTTTCATCACACTTTGCAAGTTCATCACATTTTAATTCTATTTCTACCATGCAAGACTAGATTTAAGGGTCACTGAAGTCAGGAGCCATGGACCTTTGCCCTCTTAATGGTTCTCACCATTAATGCTTGACCCTAAAAGCTATGTATACAATAAACTATATTTATAGGTGCACAGGGAATGAAAGAGGAGAAACAAAGTGAGTCAAGTGATTATTTGTTTTGCCATGCTGTTCAGAGATTAGGAATGTTCACACAGTCCACCTTCCAGCTGATGAACTTGGACTGATTCTCTTTTACTGTGGGCCAACTGAACACCAGCATGGAATTACAGCTGAGACTGGGATTTAAACTGACACCCTTGCTAATCTCAGTCTCTTGGGACTGCTGGTATGTTTCCCTCACCTGAGAACTCTCTTTCTGGTTTTCTTTGGGTATAGAAGAAACAAAATAAATGACATAGATTTAAGTAGGGGAAAATAATCAAACAATTTGTGTTCAGAGATTAGATTTATGAAAGGTTTTATAAAACTATTTTTGAAACTTTGGGTGTCTCCTCTGATTGGGAAAGAGCAACATGAAATCATTAAGATTTGAAGTCTCCAGCACTCGGTTCCCATAAATTTGGACATTTGCCCCCTCTGTGGTTTCCAAGGTTAATTTTCCCCTCTTAAAATCTGGGCAGATGAGGATGGGGTCGCAGCTCAGTGCTAGGGCACTTGACTGGCATGTGGGAGGCCTTGGGTTTGATCTATAGGAGAATAAAAATGAAACAAATTGAGGTAAATGAAGAGTTTGTTTACTATGTTTATTTTCTGTCCTTTCAGAAACATCTAGTTTCTATGACCTTTCACTATTTGCACCATTAATTAAAATTAGTAGCACAGATTTGCAGCTGGACAAAGAAATTAATTTCCCGGGAACAGAGTTTCCAGAGAATCTCAGAAGCCCATCAGTTTTTAGATTTATGTAAATCTTTGTAACCGGTGCCCCTTGTGTGTGCTTGGGTTTGCACCCACACAAACAAAGTAGTGCATACTGCTTACACACACACAAATACGGGAAAAAGAGAATTAAATTCCTTATTAATCTATTCCCAGGAACAACCACTATAACTTTTTGGGAGTGACTAGACAAAACGTTTTCTGAAGCTGAGGATAATTATTCTGGCAATATACGAGCAATCCTAAAGGAATGCGCAGTGATTAAGGCAAAGAATTTCTCTTGGTCAGAGATCGACTGAGAGTTCTGGTCTTATAAAATACTCTATTTCCTCCATTAATTGTGTCCTTGTGGAGTTGTAACCAAGTAGCTGAAACAAATAAAACTTAAGTAATATTGTTTCCTTTTAAAATATTTCACTTAATTTGTGGAAGAAGTTTGAACTCATTAAACATAAACGGTTCCCTCTTAACCCCTACCCCATGCCCAAAAGCGCACCTCTGCCCATGCCTGAACCTCCTGAAACATTCTGACCATGGCTGGTATTCTACCCTTCTTCCTAGGGAGGGGCAGGAGGGAGTGGGCTGAGAGGGTGGGGTGTGGGGTTCATGGTAAGGGAGGAGCACCTACCTGCCTGATCCGCTAGTTTGGTAGAAAGTAAAGCATAGCGTGCCATATAAACCTAGTCTTAATTCTTAAATATCAGTATCCTTATTTTCAAAATATCATCATAATGATGGATTCACTCATCTTCTCTTCGGTTGCTAGGTGGAAGAGTGAGATTATTTCCTTAGTATTCCCATCTTCCAGGGATCAACAGATCAGGGGTTGGCTCCAGATACCTTGTGCAGAGAGTTGGGGATCTGAATTTAATGACTCAGGGTTTTCCTGTTAGGCTGAGTCAAACTTTATTTTTGTCTGTCATCACTAGGAAGTGTAGAACTATCATACAGTCTGTGGAGTCTAGCTCTTCAAATTTAAAGAGGCATGGAAAATAAGAAAAGCTACTAAATTTCAGTGTGATTCATTTCAAAATGTCCCCCACCTCATGGTACAATGAAGGAAAAGTGCAACTATATATGTATCAGACAGTGCATGCTGAATGAAGCTATTCTTAGGGTATAGTGTTCCTTCTTCATGGTAACATTATAATTTAAATGCACAGAGAACAAACAAGTAGATATGAGAGGTAGGTCAAAATCTCTTCATTCAGAGTGTGAATTGGAAATGTTCTGGCCTCTTGTATACAGGCCAGAATTCAAAGAATAAGATCATGAAGGAGAAAATGCTATCTTTATCATTTTGAAAGTAACTTTTAAGAGCATCCACCACTGATTCATTTATTAGTTTGTATTGTAATGAATCTTACCATCTCTAAATATATAACAGCAGCATTAAAGTGCAGTGACAATGTTATAAAACTATCACTACTATCTATTTCCAGAACTTTTTCATCATTTCCAAACATAAACTCTGTATCCATTGAGCAATAATTCCTTTTTATTTTTCCCCAGCCCTTGGTAACCACTATTAGAATTTTCACAGTTATGAATTTGACTATTTTAATTTCTTCATAAAATTTTAGTAAAGTCATGTGATATTTGCCCTTTTATATCTGGCGTATATCACTAGCATTATGTTTTCCTGGTTTGTGGAAGTTGTAACATGTGTCTGAATTCTTTCCTTTTTGCGCCTCAGTAATATCCTATTGAAAAGTATTCTCTTTTTAAAAATCCACTTATTTCTTGATGGGCAGTTGAATTTATTTTTACTTTTTGACTATGGTGCATGATGTGGCTGTGAAAATTAATGTGCAGATGTCTGTTTGAATGTTCCTTTGCACTTTTTTGGCATAGAAATCCACAGCAGAACTGCTATGTCCGAGGGAAGTTTACCTTTAAAATTTTAAGGTATTCCAGGGCTGCATCATTTTATATCCCAACGAGCAGCTAAAGAGTGTTGCAGTTCTTCTACACTCCTGCTAACACTTGTTACTTTATGCCCTTATGTGTGTGTGTATGTGTATGTTACTAGGGATTCAATGTAGGACATACGAGCTATACCAAAAACCTTTTTTAAATTTTTTGTTTCAAGTAGGATCTTTTAAATCATTAGTTGCACAGGGTGGGCTTGAATTTACTACCCTCCTGGCTCAGCATCCCAGAGCTCTGGGATTACAGGCATGTGCCTGTCATGGTTGCCTAGTTGTGCTTTTTTATAGTCATGCTAATGGGTTTGGAGGGTATTTCATCATGGTTTTGATTTGCATACCTATCATAATTAATGATGGTAAGCATCTTTTCACATATTTATTGACCATTTGTACATTTTAAGTGGAGAAATCAATATTTACGTCATTTGCCCATTTTGAACTGGATAATTTTTGTTCATATTATTGAACTATAGGAATTCTTAATATATGACCAATGCTTCTTTATTATCAGATGTTTCCATGCTATAGCTAAATGAATTTCCTTAAATAAATAATTTTAATATGTTACATATGTATATGCATTCATGTAGATGAATTTCAGGTGTGGGTGTGCTCATGAATTGTTGAAAATTGAGTTTAGATTTAGTTTTTGTTGCATTATGCCACCCTCAGTTAGGAGGACTAAAAGAAAAGTACATGAACAACTAAAGGAAAATTGCTGTTCTCCTGAGTCATTTAATTCTTGGATATGCCCAATATTTTCCAGGATGAAACAGCAGTGATTGGTATTGACATCTACAAAAACTGACCCTGAACACTGAAGCTCTTGTTCACTGGATGGGAATGACTTTCTGCCACTCAGTCACATGTGAGTTTTGATTTTATTTAATCTCTGTAAGCCTCTCTTTCATCATGTTAAACTGGGGTGGTAACAGTAATTGTTCCATATGACTGTTGTGAAGAGTAAATGAAAAGACCTATGAAATGACTGGGTGTCCTGGAAGTTGGTGTTGGATGATGGTCTAATTAGCAGAGGAAGTTCACACCGCTCGGGATGCTCTTCTAGTCTTGCTTGGATTTTACCAGTGTATTGCTGGGTAATGATAAAAATATCCATAGAGATCAAAAACGGGCAAGTAATTCCTATGTTTTAGGATCTGTTGCATATTTAAAAATAAAGAAAAACACCTCAGGGTTATAAAAATGGTGGGATATTTTAAATGTTTTTGTTTAACAAATTAACATAGCACACATCTACGAGGATGCACACAGAATCAATGACTACATATGATTCCACTTGGTGATAACATCAAATGTCTAAATTTACATACACTAATAAGTGGGAGACCTGGGTCAAGAACCGCTCTTGGAAGCTTCCTCTGTCCTCTGCCTTCTAAGAGGCTTGTACGACACAAAGTAACTCACGGCTCTATAGAGTAAGGGTAGGAACCACCATCTTAGTCATCTTATTTTACATACATTTTCCTCCATCCTATAATCTAGAGATTAGAAATTGCAAAGAAGTAGTGCAAAAGATGGAAGATGTTAATTAACAAAAAAATACAATATTTAGCTTTGGAGAAATAAATTGCAATTAACACAAAGAGTGATCAGATCTGTGGTCCTTTGTAAAACAACAGAAAGACACCTCTAAAATCAAGTATGTCTCAAAGAATTGCACACAGTTGTGCAGAAATACAATTAGGCCTAGAGAATACAATTATTTTAAATTGTTTGCTCTTTTCTATTTGCTTCTCTTTCTTTTCCTCTTTTTTAGCCCTCTTCTTACATTTTTTCTCTTCCCTCTTTGTTAAGTATTCTTTTACAACCATGCAGATGAGGTCAACTTTTATTACCTTTAGCCAAAAGTGGCTGTGAGAATAAAGGGACTTCCCCTTATCTTCATGCTGTTTAACAGCTCATGTAAACATTCAGCGTATCACATGAAATTATACAGATGGAGTTATCATAGTAGTGAAAAACTACCTAGATTATGTTGTCCTTATGGCATTTATGCATTTTCATATGATGAATGGATGCAAGCAGTCATCATTAGAGAACATAATGGTCTCTGATGATGTATTTATGACATGGAAAGATGTCATGTGATGAAGTGTTTACAACATGTAATGAGGTTGTGTAACAATCTCTTTACAGCCTGCAATTACATTGACTAATTCCTTATAAAAACACTCAACAATGTGCTCTCCATGTGCACGTGCTTGATATCGCGGCACTTTAATAACCAGCACCTCTGAACTGCAAAATCAAGCAGCTTGGGTGACTCAAAATCCTGTTTCCCAGCCAAGGCATATAAAAGATGCTGGGTGTTTAGTCAGTAAACTCCAAGAATTGCCTCTTATTGCAAGTAACTGGGCTAATAGAAGGCATATGTGTCAATAGCCTCATGAAGCAGTGAACTTGGCGAGGAGGCTTTACACCTGAAATCCCATCTGCATATATATTTCCTTCTGTTGTGGAAAGGGGAGAAGTATGCACACCTGTTCTCTGACATCCAGGGTAACTAACATCTGTACCTGGGCCTCTACTTCAACCCTTTCATCATCTAGAATTTATGTCCCCCCTTATTTTACCAATTAGTGAGTAACTGACTCAAAGGAGACCACCAAAAACTTAAATTATGGGCAGAAAACTTTCTCTGTGAAACTGTGACTATGAAGGTGGATTAGACAGAAAGCAGGATCTGCTAAACAACTAAAGAATTGAGGTACAGGAACTGTAATAAGACCCAAACCTTTAGTAAGGAAGTGGACTCCAAGATGTAGGTGAGGAAGGGCTACACTCATCCTAAAAAAGCATGATGGGAAATGAGGAAACCGGGAGGTGAAGAGGTAGAGGAAGATAAGTGGGGCATAGAAATACTATTTACCGAACAGTTATCATAACATGAATGAGCAGTTGAAAGGCATTCTAAACTGAAGGAAATAAATAGGTTCTTAGACTATTAGTAATATTAGCTGAAATTTTCTCATGCTGAAAAAGGCTTGCTCCTTTCAGATGGAGAAACATACCATGAGGTTCTCACACAAGATATAGTATATGGTGAATCCTTTGTAATATGGCTGAATAATTTACTGTATGGACAAGAAGGAATAGTGACTATGACATGGTGGTGCAATCATAACTTGTATTTATAATATCCCAAATTCAATCAAACTTTAGCAATGTAGCACAATGTAGCACATGGGCCAGAAGAAACATGCTTACTTTTAAGATAGAAAGTAAAAAAGTAAAAATAAAATACAAACAATTACTCCCAGGTCTTGGAATAAGTTGATGGGGAATTCATGGACTGTCCTTATCTAAAGTTATTTTGAGCCAAATAATATTTCCTCAGGTGGTGGAGATATAAAGTGACTTTGGGCTAATCTAACACATCCCCTTGAGTCACTAAATGGAGTGGAGTCCGACATGTGCAAACATGCCACCACGTGGAGTGTGATGGTGTCCACTTCTTTCTGCCTGTGTGGAAGCAATACGGTAGAAGTGAAGACCTGCCGCCAAAATTGCATCAGGAACCGGAACTGCCAGCATTGTATGTTCTTTACATGGTTTCGCAGAGCAGAAACGCTTTGCTAGCACCATCGGGTCTGACACATGGTTTTCAATATCATTGCCTCAAAGGAATTTATTTCAACCATGTCAGAGATGTAATTGGTTTTCAGAGAGTAGTTATTCTGTTTGTGTACTTCTGGGTTCTTCTGGTCCTGGACCTCCAAAGAACTTCAAAAACAATATGTAAAAAGAACAACTGGATTTGAACAGATACATTGGATATGGAAATTAGCAAAGTTCCAGGATGATAGTATATAGCAGGGCAGTTTAGCAGAGGAACTCTGTCCATTATCTTGTTGGATTTCACCATGAAGGTTTCATTAAGTCATTTTACTTTTGTTAATTTCAAGAAGAGAGTGACAAGAATTAGAAAGAAGAGACCATTTAGTGACTACTGATGGCTTCATGACTGAGTCGCTGTAATATATTTTAGTCTTGTTAGCATGGTACTTATTTCTGAGTTTTGTGTTTCATAATATGTGAGTAGACCATTTTAATGGCATATTATGTAAAGCAGACAATGATTTAGGTAGGGCTCAGAACGGTTCAGACTCAGTTTTGGAGTTTTTAATCCTTGTGACAAGAATAGGAACATTCATTGCTTTGCTGAAAGAGAATGGGAATTTTAAAAATTAGTTTATTTTATTGATGAGCAACACATACCAGTGGAATTTGCTGCACTGACCAATTATCCAAGCAGTAGAATAACTTGTGGTAAAGGAGAGTAGACAATTAATATAGTGGTAATAGTTATCTGTGATTAGCAATTGAGGAGAAAGACTTACTGGTAAAGATATTGATAAAGCCACAGTATACACTCTCTCTCTTCTTTCCTCCCATTTTATCTCAACACAAGATCATACTGAAAATTCTTGTAATCCCTACACACTAAAATTTTTGCCACATTCACTTCTGGTCAACACACTATAAAACAAAACTATGAAGAAACTTTTGTCTTTATAACTCATAATTCAACATAGCTTTCTGGATATGTCACAGTCTTAATAAAACATTTTGCAGTTGTCAGAACTGGATGTTAGTTTTGAATGAGAAATAAATATGTCTCTCTGACATTTATGATGACATGACAATCAAAATCAACATCAAGGGGATTTATATTCTATAATAAGTGAAATAAAGAGAAAATATGGTCTCTTTTGGTATTCAAATGAAGAATAAAATACTAAAAATGGCATTGAAAATCAAGAAGAAACTTCTCTAGTCTTTCCTGGAAATTATTTTTTATATTGTGGGCAAGATATGAGCGATAGGAAGGGAAGAGGAGGGGAAAATGGTCGAGTTGTGTATGAATGTGCATCAGCGCCCAAATATGATATGTTTATTATGCATCTCAAACATACTAACAAAAAATTTTAAACACGAATCTTTTCACATGTCAGGTGATGGGTGACAAGTAAAAACAGTATTTGAGAACTAAAGTTTATGTTGCCATTTAGTTTTCTTTTAATGAGAACAAGATCTGTTCCTTTATTTCTAAGATCTAAACCGAAAGTAAACATTGAATGGCTTTATCATTTCTTTGTGAAACCTCATTCATCAGTGAGTATATTTATGATTGACATAAGAAGACTGTTTTGCACTGACATTGGAGAGTAAAGAATGCTTCCGTGTGCTTAGTTCTTTTCAATGGACCGCACCATGCCTTGCAACTCCAGTGAATAACATGTTGCACCTGCTTTACAATGTGTCAAAAGATTTTGCATTTGTAAATTCTACACTAACTTGTGTAAAATCCTTTCCTACAGATGAGTAAACTGAGTTTTGGAAGAGCTAAGTAGCTTCCTTTCCCAGGGTTCACAATTAATAACCACTAAACGAGAGAATGGAGTCTATTTATGCTTGGAGTTTTTATTATATCTCATTGCATGTAAATAAAAATATTACTTTCTGCCTCATATTTGCCTTGGTTTACTTCCTTTCAAAAATGATGGGTTTTGTTGTATTTAATTTTTTTTGTATTTTTAAGAAACAGATAAAAGCAACACCATGTGGGTGAAAGCTTGAACAATGAAAGCATAATGAGACTTCATACAGTAGAGTGTACTAAATCCCTAACACCTGAGGCGAAGGGTCTCTGGTGGGCCTCACTTGGCAGCCTTATTTCCCAGTCTCACGGCCTGACCTGTTGAAGATGAGGGATAAGGCAGGCAGACCAGTCAGGGGACAGAGAGCTCACACACCAGCCAGTTCCAGGATAAGAAGTGAAATTTAACCTTCTACATCCACGTTCTGCCTTTTTACAGATCACCGATCCCAGGGTAAGCGCCACAAAGAAAGTAAGATCTCCACCAGGCAGTATCTAACTACTTCAGTTGTCTAAAAGTCAGTAAAATAATAAAAGGCCAGAATCCAGAATTGTAAGAAGCAGCAAGTGCATAATTTGCTTTTCTGTTAGCTTAAAATATTTATGCATTATGTTTAAATTTTAATATGTATTTAAAGGAGTTCATTAAAGTGTTGCTATCTTATTTAGTGTCCATAAGTTACTGAAAAGAGTTAAAAATCTGTCAGGATTTTTGTGACACAACTGAGGCAAACTTAGTTCACAATGGTTCCCTGTTTGATTTATTACTTTTGAGAAAGTATATTATAATCAGGCAGGTATTACCGTAAGAGAAAAAATAGCTTATATAACACTGGAGCATCAAAGGGATAATTTTTTGGCTTCAATGCAATAATTAGATTTATCATAATCAATAAAATGTGTGAGCAGAGTTTATTGAAGTGTCAATTTCCCATTGCATAATGCCCTCTGGGAATCTTAATTTTTAATTCAAAAAGAAAGTAGAAGATTTGTAGTACAGATGCCAATAAATGTGTGAGGTTAAAGAAAGCACACGACTTCTTATAGAAATCAAAGTGGGGCTTAGAACAGTTCCCTTTCCACTCCTTTCCCTGTCCCATGGGTCACCATTAACTTTCCAGGAGAATGAGATCTTGAAATAGTTAAGATACAGATTATTCTGCCTATGTTGCAGAAACGAACATGGGACAGTAATGTTTGGTGATTCTTCCTTCATTGTCTTGAAGAGTGCACTCAGGGGTGGGAAATATTACTATTTGCTTATAAATATATGGTAAAAAGAAGTATATTCTCATACTTTATAACTACACATATGCCAATTTGGAATGGAATGTGAGTCCTCACAGATTTAAAAACTTAGACTGTACACCAACTATCAAAGATAAAGTTATTTATTAGCAGTATGAAGTTGTTTTGTTTTGTTTGGTGTGGTTTGGATTGGTAATAGTATATGATGCATGCATTAGTTTGATTGCAATAAATCTCTGATTCCCTACTACTTTCAGTATCTAAGCCCTTTGCAATATTGCTCTCTTCGAGAAAGGAGTCTTTTACTCTACCTCTTCAGTATGACTGAGTTGGCCATGTGACTTGTTAGGGCCCCCTACTCAATATGGCTGCCACATTTAAATTCAATCTCACACAAAAATTTTAGTATATAGGTACAATGTAAGACCAGTTCCTTGCCCGAGAGCAATGCACATGATCTGTATTTCAGTTCCCAGTGGAATATTTATTCCCAACTCAACCTTATTAGTCTGTCCTTTACTGTGTGCATTCTTAGCAGCATTTTGACCTCCTAAACTCTGACCAGAATTGTCCCCAGGCTTTGCTTACAGCATTCTAGGGCTTTCCAAGCCTGGATCTCCAAACCTTCCCAAACTTCTTCTGCAAACTAGTTTCAAAAGGCTACTGAACCACATGGTTAGGTAGTTTTTCAATGACTTTGTTTTCTGGTATTGATTTTCTATATTGGTTAATTTTCCCATTACTGGGATGAAATATGTGACAGCTACAATTTAAAGGAGGGAAAGGTTTAATTTGGCTCATGTTTTCAAAAGCAGTCCATGGTTGGCTGGCTCCAAGGCAATATGATTATGACAGAAAGGGATCACAGAGCAAAGCTGTGTACTTTATGGTGGCCCTGCCCAGCACTTGATGCAAACAGGAAAACAGGTCCAGAGTGAGAGAGAGAGGCCAGGGAAGAGATATTATATCCAAGGTCAAATCATCATGACCCGTGCATGTGCACCTAGAAGTCTGCCTTACTGGTACCTAGATAGCAACCAAGCAAATCAAGTTGACAATTAAACTTAACCATTACTCAGCTGACCTTGGACTCGTAGGCAATAATAAATACTAGTGGGTTTTAACTACTGAGTGTGGTAAGTGGTTTGTTTTGCAGAAATAACTATTCGATACAAAGCATAAATTGTGGATTCAGGAAATAACAGTAAAACTCCTTTCTAAATTCTAGATACCAAAACTCATGAATATAATACCCACCATTTGTTTATTAAGCACTAAGTAAGCGTGAGGCACTGAGCAAAACACATTTCCTACTCTGTTTAATGCCATCCTTCTGTAAGTGCATTTGGTGAATTGAGATATTTTATGAGTTAAAATTTTGATATGTTGAAATTCTCTCAGTATCTCATAATGTGGCCATATTTGAACATAAACTCTTACAGAGATAATCAAGTTACAATGATGTTCATAAGGCAGATCCTACTAAATATGGCCAGTGATCTTATGCAAAGCAGAATTTGGGAAACAGAGACAAACACTTAATGAGAAAAGTCAACATGAAAGTACAACAGGAGAAACAGCCAGGTGACCTGAGTAGTAAAGTTACAAGGGAAAGGCTATCAAAGATTGCAAAAAGACACTAGAAGTTAGAGGAGGTAAGGAAACACACAACAGAAAGTATGTCACTGTCAATTTCTTGCCTTTGGACTTCTGGTCTTCAGAACTCAGACGCAGTAGGTTTTTGTTGTTTTAAACTATTTAATTTAGGTACTTTGCTTTGGCAGCCCAGGCAGCACGAGTGAGATAGAATGTCAAGTGTAAAGCAATCTTTTTTATTTGAAGGTAGTAAAACACAACAAAACAAGACAGAGCAAAGCCAATTGAGACAATGCAGTAAAATTGGTACAGAACTGCACAGCATAGTACCATAGTGCATCTTGTTATCTTTTTTTTTTTTTTTTTGTCATTTTCCTTTTTATCGGTACCAGGGATCGAACTCATGACTGCCTGCTTGCAAGGCAGGCGCTTATGCTGCTGAGCTAAATCCCCAGCCCCTACATCTTGTTATCTTCACAATAGTAGTCCATTCAATCAGATACAGCAAAATCAAACCAAAAATGCAACATTATAACACCTATCAAAACAGAATATTGAATAGAGCAGAACAATATCAGAACAAAGCAAAATAGTAAAAATAATATTTGCCTTCAAAGAGAAGACAGAAGGAAATCCCAGAACTTTATGGTTAAATTATAAAAATAATTTATCCGAATTTAAATGATCTGATTATGTATCATATAACATGGATAATTTTCTATGCATACCTTTTATCAGATTAGTCAATATGAGCTGTCAGACATGATCTTTAGAATTGTTAGTGCTTATATACAACATACATTTTTAAATCATCTGATTTCACTTGAACTACCAGAGATCTCCATTTGTTTGCTTTTAAAATAAGATGCAGATGCAGGATAACAAAACAAGAAACTGCTAAAACAAAGACTACTTAGCCAAGCGAGGTCATGCTGTTGGTAGAAATAACAAAATTACCTTGTGAATTGTGGTGGAACTGTGTCGTTACCGCATCGGACTAAACCAGTGTTCATGGATGTACGGAAGGCTATAAATAAATATGATAAAAAGGGTCAAAGCTTGTCAATAAAGAAGATTTGTCCTGAGGAGTAGTTGAATGTTTTTGTCCTAGGACCAACAAACTGATGTCAACATATATTCTATTTCATCCAGAGAAAGCCAGCTCGCTGACTTCAAGCAAACAGAGAACACCCTCACCTCAAGATTTTAAAATTATGATTATCTCAATCTAGAATGTTTTCCCTTAAGCATTGGCCCAGTTGGGTCCTGCATGTCACCTTATCAGAGTGAACTTTCATCTTCATCCTATTTCTACATGTTTTTCCTGTTACACACACACACACACACACACACACACACAGAGACAGAGACAGAGACAGAGACAGACAGACAGACAGACAGACAGACACAGACAGGTACAAAATGTAATGCACTTGATTCTATTTTAGGAAGGAAGAAAGAAATTAAAAAATCAAAGAAGAGCAGATATCTGATTTCTGGCTGATCATGTTTCTCCTTTGAGTATTCTTAAACATGAGCTTCCTGATAATGAATTATATCCAGAATGGAATATGTTTGTGTGTTTAGATCCACATGATTCTAGGGAAAAATTCCATTATTTTAACCAGATTTTCATTGGAATCCATATGGCTATAATTCTCTTGGTCAAATGTGATGCTTCCTAAGACCCCTCAAGTGGTCTTTTATGCTTTTGAATTGAAAATTTGTTGATCACAACAGAGACATAGAGAAAGATGTTTGATTTTCAAGATTACTAAGACTTGAAGTATTTTTGTTACATATGAAAACATTTACAAAATGAAGTTATGAAATGCAGTATTCACTGAGTCCAAGGGCCAGGAGGATGTTGAAATAGATCCATGTTGACCTTTCTTGGGGCTCACGAAATTCTAGGTTTAATAGCCACATCCATTTTTCCCTCATGTTCCCTTTCTGTTCTTAGGTCACAGAATTGATATATTATTAGAACTACAGCATATCATAGAGCTGATCTCGTCTAGCACAACACCCTCTTTTTACAGATGAGGAAGTAGATGGTGAGCATTGTTAAACGTTCCTTGTATTCACGTGGAAAGTGTTTTATTTTGGTTATGTTGGTGCAAGTGTGTGTTGGTGCAAGTGTGTGTTGGTGCAAGTGTGTGTGTGTGTGTTGAGTGAGTAATGTGAAGTACTGCTAGATTAAAACAAATACAAAACAATTCCAATATTCAGGGTTGACCTGAATTC